TCATACTATAATGTATAATGTAATGTTATAATGAATTAAGTAATCATACTACAAATCTTTATTTAATATTATAATTAATTAAATTTCAAATCATTTAATTATATACTAATGTTTATAATGGAATGTTATATGATTAAGTAATCATATTACAAATATATAAGTAATGTTATAATTAATTAAATTTTAATCGTTTAATTAAGTAATGTAATGGTATAGTAGATTACTAATGTTTATAATGTAATGTTATAAATTCATAACTAATTATGAATTTGTAATCATTTAACTATATAATGCTATAATTGTAATAATCATAATATAATGTAATATTATAATATTATAATTTAATTGAGTAATTATTTAACTATAATGTAATGCTTAATTAATGTTTATATGAAATGTTTATAAGATAATGTTATAATTAATTAAATTTCTTATCATTCAATTAAGTATTGTGCTAATGTTTATATAGTAAATTAGTAATTACTAATGTTTAAAATTAATATCATAACTCATAATCAATTAAGTAATTATTTAATTATGTAATGTTATATTAATATATGATCATACTATAATAGTATAATGTAATGTTATAATGAATTAAATAATCATACTATAAATCTATAATTTATATTATAATTAAATTTCAAATCATTTGATTAATTTACTAATGTTTATAATAGATGTTTAATTGATTGAGTATTAATTATAAATATATAAGGTAATGCTATAATTAATTAAATTTTTAATCGTTTAATTAAGTAATGTAATAATATAGTAATTAGTAAATTACTAATGTTTATAATGTAATGTTATAAATTCATAACTAATTATGTAATTATGTAATCATTAACTATGTAATGCTATAATTAAGTAAGTGATCATAATATATAATGTAATATAATAATATTTAATTTAATTGAGTAATTATTTAACTATAATGTTTTTAATTAAGTTTATAATGAAATATTTATAAGGTAATGTTAAATTAATTAATTTCTTATCATTTAATTAAGTATTGTGCTAATGTTATATAGCTATTAGTATTACTAATGTTTAAAACATAATATCATAACTCATAATCAATTAAGTAATTATTTAATTAGTAATGTTATAATTAATTATATAATCATACTATAATGTAATGTTATAGTGAATTACTATTAATAATCATACTATAAATTTTTAATGTAATATTATAATTATTAAATTTTTAATCATTTAATTAAGTTTGTACTAATGTTTATAATAAAATCAATTAATTAAGTAGTAATCAATTAATGAATGCATAATTATTATACTATAATCAATTAAGTAATGTTATAAAATTATAATTAATTAAGTAATCATTTAACTATAATGTAATGTTATAATTGATTAAGTATGATATTTAACTAGTAATTAAATTTATTATGTTTATCAATTTCATATATAATTAATTAATTACTATTTATTATAGATATACTTAGAACTTGATAATTGAAGTAAATAACTAAATATATTATTACTCAATCAAATATACTATTTTATTCAAAAATAATTCTTTAATACATTAAAAATGTAAAACACTTTTAATTAAATCATAATTCCAATTATTCACTTAATTGATCAAAACTTTAATATTATGTATTATAATATTTAAAGCTTTTAATATGGTGTAATTTATATGTAATAAGTATAATTGTATTCGTATTTTATTTAATTAGGTTATTCTAAAAATTTAACTTTTTCTATTTTAAATTTTTTTATATGTAAATAATAGAAACTCCCCCATTATTACATTTCACAAATATTTCATTATAGTCCAGGTTCCAAAATAGGTTTCTAAACAGGTTCCAAAAACAGGTTCCACAATAGGTTCCAAAACAGGTTCCAAACAGGTTTTCCAAAACAGGTTCCAAACAGGTTCCAAACAGGTTCCAACAACAGGTTCCAAACAGGTTCCAAACACAGTTTCCAACAGTCCAAAACAGGTTCCCTAAACAGGTTTCCAAAACAGGTTCCAAACAGGTTCCAAAACAGGTTCCAAACATGTTTCAAACAGGGTACCCCCTACAGGTTCCAAACAGGGTACCCTTTTTACAGGTTCTGGTTCTGGTTCCGGTTCCTCCGGGGGTAAGAACCGGAACCGGAACCGCACAGTAGCGGTTCCAAAAAATTGGAACCGGAACCTACCCGCACAGTACAGGTTCTGGATAGGTTCCGGTTCCGGTTCCGGTTCTTACCCCCGGTTCCGGTTCTACCCGCTACCCGTGCTCACCCCTACCAACAACATCCTTTATTTTATAACAAAGAGTTCAATTGAATATAAAGTGATATGATATTATTCTTTAAATGACACATCAATTAATAAGTTGTCTTTGTATATTCACTCTACAGGTTATATTTTACCACATCATTTTGTTGAATATTGTTCATTTTAAATGCTTACATTATTAGTATTATGTACTGATTAAGTCACACAACTCTTTTGTGGAATTACAAAATCCAAAATTATTCTTCCTTTTATTGCAAGTTGGTATGGCAACGAACTTGTTCTCTTTAATTAATTTCTAAGAAACTTCCTTGCAATAAATCTGTAATTTCGGCAAAGTTAATTTGTTGATGAATTCTCATATTAACTTGACCAAGACTTGCATATTATGGTCCACCATCACTTTAGTTTGATTTTGATATTTATCAATCATTCTTGATATTATAAAATTAGTTAAGGGTCTAATTTATTACCAATTTGAATCGTTTGATTATGTAGAGTATTAAAGTAACTAGTTAACATGGTATCTTTCTAAGAAATTTCCTGACACTTTGTCAATAATTTCAACCAAATTGTTAGTTGCTTTCACATCTAACGAGTTGAATTTAGTCATAAATCAGGCATTTCATTTGAACTATTTTTGTAATGGCAAACCCAAATAGTTGAATCGTAATCGAATCGATTAATTTGTGTTTTTATATGAGAAGATAAGTACTTTTTGTTTAATCATCTTTCATGGTGGGGTGCATCACCTAGGAAAATAAGCCAGGGTAAGGTTTTGTGGGGGTGCCACCATTTCCATCATCTTTGTTCTTCTCTTACTCTCTTTCATTCCAACACCACTTTTACGTAACATTTCTGAGCAAGTGTTTGCCAATTGTCTTTAGTGGTAAATTTTGAAGGGATAATTTTAATCAAGTGGGTAACGTTATCGTTTTAAATTTCAATCATTTACTCCGTTTAATATTTGCCAAGTGGAGAAGGTTAAAATCATCATTTTATTCCAAAGCAGTAATAAGAAAAGGAAGAATCTTTTCCATATTGAGCTAACATTGATGAAAAGATCAATTTCATTATGATGATTATATGGAGCTTGAAGATGATATATGGTTGAAATTAAATAAAGAAGATAACACGACAATCTCACACATAGAAGGACACCCAATTTATGTGTTTCGGTACATCTTGGTTGCATCCCCAGATGTGAGTCAAATACTAAAATAAAGCATAATAGTACTAGTCTAATATACTCACAATAAACCCAAACCCATTGTTATATATATAACACTTTTATTATTCGAAATAAGCATCAAATTAAACTATCTTCCATTAATATCCGTGTTCAGAATATAATTGTTATCAATATTCAGCATTTAATAACATTCCATTTATTAACTGCTTATATGTCATCCATGGCCATGGATATATTACTACAAGATAAAGGAAAACTTGTTCATTTGTGTTTTTTTGTTTTTTTCACAACATAAAGTGCTTTAAGAATACTCCCTGCAACAGTAAGATTATTATTCAGAATTAGAAAAGGTTCAACCCATCTTTTCAAGTATGCTACAACAAATATTGCTAGTAGCCTTCCCGCAAGCACAATTGAATAGATAGTCTAGGGGTTTACTTGATGGTATTGATAATGTTGCTAATGAGTCATTGAAGACTGTACTCAACCACCACTAATGGTTGTCGGTTGGCATTCCTAGGTGAGAAGTTTTCAAATTTTCAAATTTTTTAATTAAATTAGTATTTGTTTGAAATAATGCAGGTATTTTGATAATTAATAAATACTTTATAGATTTTAGCTTGAGAAATAAGTAATTAAGAGATAAACTGCAACAATTCCAAATTAAGCTTGATATAATATTCTTTAAAATAATACACTATATATATTAATAAACATATAGAAGAAAAATATTATTTATTATTATTAATATGTGTGTGTGTTAATTGAGTGACTGCTTCTTTTTGAGAGCCTTACAAAGAATTCTATAGAGCAAATGGTAGAGAAAATACCAAGAAGCTTGGGTGAAGTTTCTTGGTGATTATTTAATTAAAAAATGCTTTCACATATTGATTGTTGGAAAGCTAACAAAAAAATTCCACTGTCGGTGATGAAGCACAGCAAGCAAAAGAAGAAAAGCTAAAGCTAGAGTTATAAATTTATATTTGCATTTCTTGACTAATTATCATCAGTGGAACTTTAAAAGATAATCGTCGTTAACTTAATCTATTATCTAACACACCAAATTTGATTTAAAAAAATAACTTTTGTTTTATCTGATGATAAATAAAATAAACAAAACAATAACTAGATATAATAAATATAAAAAACTAAAAAGTAATTTCACAAAAAATATTTTTTATCCAACAAATTTAAAACAATAAATACTTTAATCAGAGAAAAGAAAATTTTAATTTAAAATTTTTTTTAATGACATATAATAATTAAAAATAATAATATAACATAAGTCAAACTTTCTTGCACAAGTGTAAAAGAAAACCAAGATGTATTGCGTGTACTCAGTACTCTTATGGTCTTCCTGACCATTGAAATTGCTTAATTCTTATAATTTACAGAAGTAGTGTCCTCTTAATTTCGGAGCAGAGGAGCTGCTAAGTTCAATAGCGTCTTTATCGTCTGTTCATCAATGGTGATGCGACGCGTTTTTAAGTTTTAGAGGTGAGGACACTCGAAAAAACTTTACCGATCATCTATATTTCAAGAAAGCTTTTGATAAACATGAAGAAGAGAATCAGGAGAAGGTGCAAAGTTGGAGATCAGCTCTCAAACGAGTTGCCAGTATCTCTGGATACCATTTGCAGGAGAGGAACTGATTATTCTCCTTATGGATTGTGGCTTTCTTAGCTTCAAATGCGCGTATCTAGCAATAAATACCCTGGCAAATTAAATAGTTAACAATAATTTACTTTTTCCGATAATTTGAAAATATCTGTACTAAAAGTCGAAATGTTTTTCATGGAAATTTTATATGTACTTTGGTAAGGCAGTATTGATTATCAACATCCCCATAAAATTTCTATTTCAAATGCAATTCTCATATTTTAAACATGTTTCAAAAGTCTTTTCAGTTGTTTGCTTTCAACAAAGATGGTAACTATCATATCCCAAGTTGAGTAATTATAACTTGTAGCATGTTTTGACGAGTATAACATATCTGTTGTTTTTAAATTCTTTTAGGAAAAAAAAAAAAAGTCCGTGTACCATATTCATGTTCCTTTTCAAAAAACAATTTAGTACATCATAGCTGATTGTCAAATTATTTTTCCTTGCTTTGTTTATTGCTCTTCTTTGTAGGCATGAAACAGAATTTATCCAAGATATTGTTGAAGACCTATCGAGAAAACTGGATCAAGAATTTCCATCATATATTACACGAGATCTTGTTGGTATGGAGTCTCGAGTGGAGAAAATGATTGCATACATAAAACCAGGATTGAACGATGTTCGCTTCGTTGGCATCTGTGGAATGGGAGGGATAGGTAAAACTACAATAGCTGAAGTTGTAAATGATATGCTTTCAAAAGACTATGATTGTAGATGCATTCTTCGCAATATTAGAGAAGTCTATGTTAAAAAAGGTCTGGAAGCTTTGCAGCAAAAACTTCTACATTCACTCATGCATGAAAGAAATTTATATCTGGATGATGTTTCTCATGGAATCAACTTGATTAGAAGACGTCTCTACTGGAAAAAGGTTTTTCTCGTTCTTGATGACGTGGATCAATTGAAACAATTGAAGAGTTTAGCTTGGGAGAGAGAATGGTTTGGTTCTGGGAGTCGAATCATCATTACAACCAGAAATAAACATTTGCTATCCCATCTAACTGAAAACATATATGATTTTAATGGACTGACTTTCCATCAATCTCTTCGACTGTTTCATTTGAGTGCCTTTAAAACCTCACAACCCACAGATGATCTTCTTGAGCTCTCGCAACAGGTGGTAAATTACATGAACGGACTTCCATTAGCTATTGCAGTTTTGGGATCCCATTCGTGTGGTAGAAGTGGTGTTGAGGTATGGAAGAGTACCTTGGATAGACTAGAACACTTTCCAAATAGAGAAATTTTGGAATCACTCAGAATAAATTATGATGGACTAGAGGATGTGAACAAGAAAATATTCTTAGATATAGCATGTTTCTTCAAAGGAGAGGAAAAAGATCGAGTTATTGAGATACTAAATAGTTGCAATTTTTATGCAAATATTGGAATGGAAGAACTGATTGACAAATCTTTGATAACTATTACTTCAAAAAACCGATTACGGATGCATCAGTTATTGCAGGAAATGGGCTGGGAGATTGTTCGTGAACAACACCGTAATGAGCCTGGCAAATGGAGTAGGTTATGGGTATATCAGGGTATCTACAAAGTTTTGACAAAAATAAAGGTAAGATTTTTTTAAATACAAACACATATACATATATACATTATTATTTCAATTAAATCAATATCATTAATGACAGTTCAAGCTGGTAACGTCTTTCTACATTAACTATGCATTAGTTTTTTTTTTTCTTGTTTATCAGGGAGCAGAAGCAATTGAAGGTATAATGGTTGAAGTAACTCACTCGATAGATATGCGTGAACAAGGAATCATGAGCCTGCATGATAAATCTTTTTTAGCCATAACCAATTTAAGGTTACTCAGCATCAGTAATGTTCTCCTTTCCGAGAACCTCGGATATCTCTTAAGTGAGTTACGATTTTTCGAATGGAATGGATACCCTTTAAAGTCCTTGCCCTTATGTTTCCAACCGCAGAATCTCTTTGTGCTAATTATGCGCAACAGCTGCATTGAATATCTTTGGGAGGGCATGAAGGTACTATTTCTTTATTTATTTTTATTTTTAATACAAAGTACGTGACGTCCTTGCAAGCGAGTTATTTTCTTAACTCTATTTTGTTTCTTACAGTCCTTTTTGAAGTTGAAAACCATTAATCTCAGTCACTCCTGCAACCTGATAACAATCCCAGACTTTACTGGGGTTCCAAATATTGAGACGCTAGATCTTGAAGGCTGTACGAAGTTGCGTGAGGTTCACCCATCTGCTGCAGTTCTCACAAAGCTAACTGTATTTGTCTTGAGGGATTGTAGAAATCTTTCGAGTTTTCCAAGCGATATCAATGGTTGGAAGTCTCTCAAGATTCTTAATCTCTGTGGCTGCTTAAAATTAGACAAGCTGCCTCAAAACATAGGGGTAGAAATGTTTGGAAGAACTAGATATGAATAGGACAGCAATAAGAGAATTGCCATCCTCCATAGTACAATTGAAAAAGCTCGAAAAACTCTCTCTTCGTGGATGTAATGGACAACGACCCCAAACCTGGTTCACTTTCTTCTTGTCATTGTTGTTACCCAAAAAAAAAATCCAGATTCCATGTGTTTGTTGTTGCCACCTCTCTCAGGTCTAATTACTCTCAAACGTTTAGATCTTAGTGACTGTAATCTTTTGCATGGAGCGATCCCCAATGATATTGGCTCCTTATGCTCGTTGGAAGGACTAAATTTAAGCGGAAACAATTTTGATACCTTACCTCCAAGCATCAATCAACTTATGAAACTTAATTGTCTTTGCTTGAAAAGATGCAAGACGCTTCAGTTATTGACAGAGCTTACACAAGCAATAGTTTTTCTTGTTTGTTTGAAGAATTGAGTTTTCAATTCATTGATTTTACATTGGGAGTTACAGACTTTATATAAGGAGTATCCGATCTCCTAAATCTCCTAATTATGTCAATTGCGGATCACACAATATTCTATCTAACATAATTAGGAGATTACATAATCTCTAGAATATTCTGAGATCGTATACATGACATAACTAAAAGATTACATAATATTTAGCTGATTACAAAAGATTCACACAATATTATGAAAATCTTAACACTCCCCCTCAAGTTGGTGCATAGATATCACACATGCCCAACTTGTCTAACACTTGTGAGATAATACGCTTGGAGACAGCCTTGGTAAGAATATCGGACAATTGATCCTCTGATCGAATCTTAGGCAGTTCAATAATCTTTTCATCCAGTTTTTCTTTGATAAAAAATCTATCTACTTCAAAGTGCTTCGTACGATCATGTTGAACTAGATCGTGAGCAATGTCACATGCTGCTTTATTGTCACAATATAATTGGATTGGTTGATTAGGTTGATAACCCAAATCTTGTAGTAGAAATCTTAGCCACAAAGCTTCACAAATCTCAAGTGCCATTCCCCTAAATTCTGCTTCAGCGCTCGAGCGTGCCACAACATTCTGTTTCTTGCTTCTCCACGTGACTAGATTACCTCTTACAAAAGTGAAATAACCAGAAGTAGATCGTCTGTCATCCATTGCTCCAGCCAAATCAGCATCAGTATATGCATGCACATTTTGGTAGTCCTTATTTTTAGAAAATAAGATTCCTTTTCCATGAGCATGTTTTAAATATCTCATGATACGCATAACTGCGTTCATATGTTGCTCTCTAGGATTATGCATGAACTGGCTGACTATACTCAATGCATAAGCAAGATTTGGCCTGGTGTGAGACGAATACATCAATCTTCCCACAAGTCTTTGGTATCTCCCTTTGTCAATTGGTACTTGATCAGTCTCGACTCCTAATTTCAAGCCTTTTTCGATTGATGTATCAGCTGGTTGACATGCTGACATACTAGTTTCTTGCAGCACATCCAAGGCATACTTTCTTTGTGATAGAAATATACCTCTGTTAGATCGTGACACTTCAATTCCAAGAAAATATTTCAAAGAACCTAGGTCCTTCATCTCGAATTCTTCTGATAAGTACTTTTGCAAAGCCTTCCTTTGTTTTGGGTCATTTCTTGTAACCACCATATCATCCACATATGCAATAAGTGCAGTAATCTTTCCTTGCTATTTTTTAAGGAATAGTGTGTGATCTGGATTGCTCTGATGGTAGCCAAAAAACTTCATAGCTTTGGTAAACCTCCCAAACCATGCCCTCGGAGATTGTTTTAACCCATACAGTGACTTCTTTAACTTACATAGCTTTTGGCTATGTTTCCTTGATAAAATATACCCTGGTGGAGGATCCATATAGATTTCTTTAGACAATTCTCCATGTAGAAAAGCATTCTTCACATTGAACTGCTGTACTGGCCAATCCAGGTTTGCTGCCAAAGATAACAAGACACGTATTGTGTTGATTTTGGCCACGGGTGCAAATGTCTCTGTATAATCTATCCCATGAGTTTGAGTGTACCCTTTTGCTACTAGTCTTGCTTTAAATCGTTCAATCATACCGTCAGCTTTATACTTCACAGTGTAAACCCATCGACATCCAACAGTCTTCTTTCCTGGTGGACGATCAACAAGTTCCTAAGTCTCATTCTTTTATAGTGATTTCATCTCTTCATTCATAGCAGCTTCCCATTTTGGATTAGATAAGGCTTTCTGCACATTGTTAGGAATAGATACAGTAAATAATTGATTCACAAATGATAAATTTGATTCTGACAGACGATGGTTAGACACATAATGACTCATGGGATATTTGAAGTTACTAGATGGCTCAGGTTCATATGTTGGTTTAGGAATCCCTATAGTACTCCTTGGTGGTAACTGTTTCCTAATTAGTTCAGGTTCTATTGGTTTAGACTCTAAATCAAGAACATTTGTAGTGAATGATGGTTGTGATATACTAGGAATGAGAGATTCAGATTGAGATGAAGTTTTTTCGGATAGAGATACCACCTCGACATTTTTATCCACTTCATCTTCTTGTTGATCAACAGGTCTAGTTTCTGACTCATAGTCTCCCACATCTTGAATAGCATAGTCAAGAGTCTGAATTTCTTTCGGACAATACTCCCCCTGAAGTTTAGACTCAGAAGAAAAATACATTAACTCTTCATGAAACACAACATCCATGGTTACAAATAGTTGTTAAGTTGGAGGATGATAACAACGATAACCCTTTTGATAAACACCATACCCAGCGAAAACACATTTCAATGCTCTAGGAGACAACTTGTTGCGTTGATGTTTATGGAGGTGTACGAAAGCAACACAACCAAAAACATGAGGTGGTAAGTTTACAACTGTTGGAGCATTCACTATTTTACCAAGAGCTTGAAACGGAGTTTGGAACTAATGAATTGAGCTAGAAGGTATTCGATTGATTATGTAGGCAGCAGAAATGAGTGCTTCTCCCCAAAAAGACAATGGCATATGAGCTTCTATTAAGGAAGCACGAACAACCTCCAATAAATGCCGATTTTTGAGCTCAGCAACACCATTTTGTTGGGGTGTGTTAGGGCAAGTAGTTTGATGAATAATGCCATGTGTCGTCAAGTATTGCTGAAGGTATTTACTTTAATATTCTCCTCAATTGTCACTTCGTAGAACCTGAACTTGAGAATTATACTATATACGAACCATTTGGTGAAATCTTTGGAATACCACATTGACCTCCCCTTTAGATTTCATCAAACAAACCCAAGTCATCCTTGTATAGTCATCAATAAAAGTAACAAACCATCGTGATCCACTTAAAGTATTAACTTGGGAGGGCCCCCAGACGTCAGACTGAATAAGCATAAAGGGATTTGCACTTTTATTCAATTTAATTGGATAAGAAACTCGATGACTCTTTGAAAGTTCACAAACATCACAGCGGAAACAACTAACATCACTTTGCTTAAACAAACTTGGAAACAATTTCTTCAAGTAACCAAATGAAGCATGTCCAAGACACCGATGCCATAACCAGATGGAAGATTTCTGCCTATCTTCTTTCGAGCCACTGACTGTAAAAGCTTGTTGTACCATGGTAGAATTTTTTTTCTTTAAATCCAAGTAATACAGCTTCCCTTGTCTAATACCATAACTAATCGTTTGTTTTGTCTAAATGCTCTTAAACACACAAAAGTTAGGCCAAAAAATCACCACACAAGATAAAGTTTTGGTTATTTGTGAGATTGACAACAAGTTGTAATTTAGAGAAAGAACAACTAGAACTGAATCTAAGTTTAAAGTATTTTGGAAGGTTACTGATCATTCTCCAATGACTTGAGTGGACTCACCATTGGCAGTAGGCACAAATTTCTGTGAGGATGGTTTTAGGTGTGAAATATGCATAGAATCAAATGTCATGTGATCATTAGCCCAGAATCAATTATCCATGCACTATTAGAAACAGATGTACATATATGTAAAGACTTACCATTATTTCCAATAGTTGCTATAAATGATGAGCACTGATCAGCATCTTCTTTCTTTTCCACAACAGCAGCAATAGAGTTTTTCTTGGAATTCTTCTTCCTTTGATCACGACTGTGATTCCACCAGTCTGGATATCCAACCAATTCAAAACATTGGTTTTTGGTATGACCAGATTTGTTGCAGTGGGTGCACTTCTTGTCTGTATTGTTTGATTTGCTGGATTTTGCATGTTGACTTCTATTTTGGGCTACCATTGCTGAAGTCTCAATATTTCCTGATTCTCCCTTCAAGGTAGTTTCACGGACTGCCTCTCGTTGGACTTCTAAGTAACTTTCTTCCAAATTTGGAATAGGATTTTTTCGTAGAATTTCTCCACGAATTTGTTCGAACTCTCCATCCAAACCTGCAAGAAAAATGTGAATTCGCAATTGCTCGACAGATTTTTGATATGCTATTATGTCATCGGGATCCTTCATAACCATTGTATTTTGGTGGTTTAATTCCTGAAATATTTTTGTCAATTCTCCATAATAGACAGAGAGTGGCCTTCCATTTTGTTTAGTAGTAAAGGCTTTTTAATGCAAGGAGAAGACAAGTAACTAATCGCTTCCACTATAGAAAGCTTTGGATAGAGCACTCCATATTTCGCGAGCAATGGATAAGCGTAGATAACGCTTCATAATTTCAGGAGACATTGACATCAACAACCATCGTTTGACTTTTGGGTTTTTAGCATACCATTTTTCGTACCCCTCGTCAGATTCCTTTGGTGGTGGTTTCTTTCCACGAATATAGGAAAGTTTTTCTCTCTTCGCAATATGCATTTCCATAAGTTGAGACCACACATCATAGTTTGATTCTGTAAGAGTAATTCCTGCATTGAAAACTCCATCGGGTTGAATAATAATAGGTTTTGATCCTGATGATTCAGACATTGTTGACCTTTTTGACTTTGACTTTGACTTTTTTAAAAATATTACTTAAAAGAAAAAAATAATAATAATAAAGAAGAAAAAATAAGAACTAAGTTAAAATAAACT